ACGCGTGTAAAACTGGGAACGTCTGTTAAGTGAAGAACGATTGGTGGTGCGTATAAAATTCGACTTACTGACCTCCAAACGCCCCTGTTAACCTGCACTTTACACACACGCATGACATAAAAAATTTCAATCGCATCATCGGTTGCAAGTGTATTCAATTATATATATTATTCAATTATATAGATATAAAAAATTATTTTCTCTCGTATACGCTTTCGAGTTTTTACGATTTGTTCCCTTCCCACCCCCCAACCCCCTGTACCGCATTCGCCGAAGGACGAGGGAAAACCTCACATGAAGGAAAAACCTGCCCAGATACAGTCGTCCCTGTAACGAGACTCCCGCTCGACAGTGAAACTGTGAGATTAGAGTGTTACAAATTTTGGCTCCCCAGCCGGGTATCGAACCCGGGTCGCTCACGTGCCAATCCCATACTCTAACCACACAGCCACGGCTGTCGGTAATTATATAGATATACATATTTTTCACCGAATGTAACAGAAAATGTAGTCATTGCGTAGAAAAAAATTCTCTGAATTAAGTGACAGTGAAATGCAAACAATTTTGTGATTATTTAGGAATAATTAGTAGGAGACTGTGGAATCATTAAATGGACACTTTGAACCCTTTTCAAAATGTTGATGTCTTATTGAAGTGTTGATGAAATAGAATTTTTTTAAAATTGAAGTACAGTTAGTCCCTTTGTAATAAGCTTAGACTGAGCTCAATCAATAAATTTGTTCCTTGGTTCTAAATATTAAAATAAAAAGTCGGAAGAGTCCATTCCACCCAATGTTTCCCTAATATTTTTAAAAACAAAAAAAAACAAAATTATGTTTTCAAAAAGAATTCTTTGTGAACATTTTGTTCGACTATTCCTATAAGGAAATCAAGTCATCTCTCCAAGAAATACAATCCACATAGGAATCAGAGCAAAAATTGAATGAAGAACCAAATCAAGTCAGAAAATTATTAATAGATGATTAAAAATTGAAATTCGGTGAAGACAATAAATCTGGAGTAGAACTGCTTATTTCCCTTCAATTGTTGATTCAAAAAATGTTCTATCGTATGAAAAATGAATGAGTTAAAGTGAATTGAAAAGAACAAATTTCACCGGATGTAAAAACAGTCCTTGTTTATTTTGAAAAAAATAATGAAATCTGCCTAAAAACACAAAAACAAATGTTTTTGTAAAAAAACTGGGCCAACACTGTTAAAAATTTTTTGAATTTTCATGGCAATAATCCCCTGAAAATTNAGAAGTTTTGTTTGATTCCTACTGGGAAGTCGAAGTTTTTGAAAAATACATAGAAATAAAAAAGGAAGCCAAGTCAGGAATTTTGAATAAATGGTGATCGTGCACAATCAGGTTTCTATAAGAAAAATCGTTCTCAATGGAATAAGTATTCTAAAAAAAATTCTCCATGAAATAAAAAATCAGTAGGAGCAGGACCGACGTTCTTGGCGCGGAGTTTTTCAACTCACTGTCTGTATCAATCTAATCCTCCATACTTTGATCCGCGCCAAGGACGTTGGTCCTGCTCCTACTGATTTTTTGTTTCATGGAGATTTTCTTTAGAANTTATGTTTTCAAAAAGAATTCTTTGTGAACATTTTGTTCGACTATTCCTATAAGGAAATCAA